GTTGTAAATACTTGAAGATGATGAGGTTGAGAGAGTAAAAATGCCATTTTCGAAAAAAAATTCAAAAAACATATAAATGGCATTTTCGTAAATAAAATGAAGATGTGGGGTGAATAGGACAAAAACAAGATGAGTCAAAAGAAGAGGTTAGTTTTGTGTTTGACTTGGAGTTTTGAGTCAAATTTGCAAAAAGCCCTTTGATGTATTTGTCTCTTTCCACATTTTTATTTAAATAGTTTATTCATTTGGCCCAGTTATGAAATTTCTGACATAATTTTATGGTAAATATCTGCTATGTCTTAAAAATATTCCAACATTCAAATATGAACGATCTCGTAATAATGACTAATTTTATGGGATGTGTAATGGGGATTTTTATGATGGAATTTTTAGTAAGATTTAAGAATCCGTTCTTAATTTTTAACTAAAAATTTAAAAATCAGTTCTTAAATAAGATATTTAAAAATTAAGAATCGACTATTCTTAATTTTTTAGTTAAAAGTTAAGAAACGATTTTTTAAATTTTGCTAAGAATTCCGCCTTAATAACTGTTTTCATTAAACTTGCTCTAACAGTTTGGTACTATAAGCTTAATTTTAATGGTAACTAAAGCCAGATGTTGAGCACGGAAACGAACCACAAGCCTTCATAGTAGCTTATCAAGTGTCACTTGCGTTGTTTGACACATGTCCGAAGATTATCAGAGGGAAAGAAAAAATGTGACTAGAGAGAGTGTACTGCGTTACTAGGAAAAATCCAAGCGGACCAATTAGTATTTGTTCCATACATCGGTCAAAGACTCAAATGGTACTTTGTTTGTTTTTATTGGTTCTGTATTTTTTCTATCGCCAATATAAAACCATGTTCCAGTCCGCAAACCGTTTTGATCGGGCCAATTCAGAATTTACCGATAAATTATTCGCTAGTCTTATTTTAATGGCAAAAACGTATAACTAACGAAAACTTTATCATTCTTGAAATACTTTAAGGTTGGTTATCTTTTCCTGTTCGTAGAAAAAAATTACTTGTATACTTGGTTTGTCTTTTCTTCTTTTTTTTTGCTCAAAATATAGTTGGTTTTTCTATGGGTGCTGACTTGAGACAAATCTATCCTATGATAGGATTCTTATCCAATCCAGAGAAATAAAATTCAAACCAAATATATTTATTATGGTTTAAATAAATCTACAAACTCGATTATACAAACTTATTCTAATCAAAATTGTATTAAATCAATTATATTAACGTAGTAACTATTATTCCATAAAGTAATTAAATACAAAAGAATCGAGATCCAGAACCGATAATGTCACTGACCATCCGGTTTAGACCACCCAGATGAACCGGCTACCACATCAACATAATCAACAGATTGTCATTTCACACAAATGTTGTCGAGTTTTCTTACATTCGCTAATAATATAATAAGATGATGGGTGATTGGGTAGGTACCCACGTGAAGCACCATACCGTACAGTCGTCAAACATTTGAAGTTCGAGAAGTTTCGAACCCAACCCCGCTTCTCTCTTTCTCATTATTCCGGAACGTTCCAAATTTCTAACTCGAGAGTACTATATTATTATCTTAATCTTATTTTAATCAAATTTAATATCGTCACTAACTTACTCCCCTCCTCTTATTTAAGCCACATCGCATGGCTTACGTGGAGATTAACCTTCCTCAGTTTCCCTCTTCTTTAACCAACTGCCATCAACGAACCTTAAACCAGCCATCACTACATTCTCCTCATTGGATTATTAACCCAGGATCGTTGTTTTTTTTTGTAATTTGATTTTGGGTTTTCAAAGAATCAATGAATCCGTTTCAGCTCCAAGAAAGTGATCCACCACCAAAACCAGTCGAAGGGTTGCACGAAATCGGACCGCCACCGTTTCTAATCAAGACATTCGAGATTGTGGATGATCCAAACACAGACCACATCGTATCTTGGAACAGAGGAGGCACTAGTTTTGTCGTCTGGGATTTGCATTCTTTCTCAACGTTTCTTCTCCCTCGACACTTTAAACACAGCAATTTCTCGAGTTTCATCAGACAACTCAACACTTATGTAAGTCTTCTCACTACTCTTCTCTTCTTTTGTCTGTCTTCTCTGACCCCAAAAGTGAAAAGAGAAAACAGAGCAATGTTCTGTTTTTCCCTTCACCGTTCTTTTCAGTTCATCTTAAATCTTAATATAGTTGCTGGAATAAGAAGTGAAGTTTTCTTGATTCAACGTTCACTTGGTAATTGAAATTCAATTTCTTTTGAGTTATTTCTAGAAACATCTAAAAAGGCAGGTTCTGTTTGTTAGTGTAAGTAGAAGAAGAAGGTTCTCTTTAGTATGTTCTAGAATCTTGTTTCGTGTCAACATGTCTTCTAAAACAATTAGTAAGTTCTAGAAACATGTTTCGTGGCAACTTGTCTTCTATAATAATCTCAAGCTATAGTCATCAATCTTATCCCAGTAGGCTTTGTTTATTCACTAGTCAGCTTTAAGCTTGCCCACTTGTTCTATTATTTATGTTATCTTCCTGTAATAAAAATATCATAGGTCACATCTCTCCCCCAATAATTGTTGTTGTTTAATCACATATTCTCATATATTCATGTGGACTTTGGAAAACTTGGAACATTTTAAGTGGGACGTTTAACATAAGTTTTTTCATTATGAATATAAAAAAAGTTTTGTTGATTTTGAATGTGTCAAAATTATGATTTGAGATATTTTAGGTGTTTTTTTTAATGTTTTTGGTATACTTATGATTGTAATTTTTTACTCATTCCGTTTCATATTAACTATCTTTTTCGTCTTGTAATTTTTTTTATCATTTTATATTTTCAAAGCAAATATTAAATATTTTTTTAGTTTTTATCCCTATTTTCAACTTATTAATTAATAAAAGCAAATAAATAATATATTAAATATGGTAAACAGAAAATTTAACTAATTCAATTTATCTACGAAAATTTTAAATGATACTTATAATAAAATGGAGGGAAAATGGATTGGTGATCTTTAGAAATGCTCTTAGATATTTCATATTCATTTTTGAATATTAACGTTTAATTTTTTTTTACAGGGTTTCAGGAAGATAGAAGCAGATAGGTGGGAATTTGCAAACGATGGGTTCTTGTTAGGACAGAGACAGTTATTAAAGAGCATCAAGAGACGAGCTTCCTTCAATTCATCGTCTCCATCCACCAATGATCCTTGCACCGAGCTTCGCAGGGAGAAGCAGTTGTTAACTATGGAGCTGCTGTGTTTGAGACAACAGCAACAAACGACAAAAAGCTACATCAAAGCCATGGAACAGAGGCTTGAAGGAGCAGAGAGGAAACAGAGACAGATGATGTCTTTCTTGGCTAGAGCAATGCAGAGCCCTTCGTTTCTGCATCAGCTGCTGAAGCAGAGAGATAAGAGGCTTAAGGAGATTGAGGATGATGCGGCAGAGAGGGAAAGAGGTTCGTCGATGTCGGAGTTGGAAGCTCTTGCTTTGGAGATGCAAGGGTATGGGAAACAGAGGAATGTGAAGGAAGAAGAGGTTATGGTGGTGGTGGAGAGAGAGTTGGATGATGGTTTTTGGGAGGAGTTGCTTAGACCATCCACAATGGTGGATTTGTGGATGGAGTCCTTAGCAATAAAAAACAATTTTTTTTTTTGTTTGAATAGTTAAGGATCTTGATTCAAAATAGTAGGTGCATTGGTGTTATCCGAAATGGAATCCTTAGGAATTAAAAAATATTAAAAATATAAATTGGAAAAATAAAAAAAATTTTATTAAAATTTTTTATTACAAAGTTTTTTAAAAAAGATACAATAACTTTTACTGATCATCACCAAATTTGTTCCAAATATTCTCAATCAAATCATTTTTGAGCTGTTGATGTATACGTTTATCGCGAAGATGAATCCGAATGCCATGCATTTCCTCGATATTTGGAGGCATGTAGGCACTATAAGACATATCGACTCTTGCACTTCTGGTGGCACCTTCTTCTTCAAATTCCGATGTATCGTACTGAGTGTATCCATCTCTTTCATTTTCAACGATCATATTATGTAATATGATACACGTTCTCATAATCTTCCCTAACTTTTCCTTGTCCCATGAAAGCGCCGGATTTTTCACAATCGCAAATCGAGCTTGCAAAACTCCAAAAGCCCGCTCCACATCTTTTCGGGTTGATTCTTGAACTTTAGCAAATAACTCGGCTTTCGGACCTTGAGGAAGTGAGATAGATTGGATAAATGTTGACCACTTTGGATAGATACCGTCTGTGAGGTAGTACGCCAGATTATATATGTGTCCGTTGACCACGTACTGTACCGCGGGAGCTCGACCTTGCGTAATGTCATCAAAGACAGGAGACCGCTCGAGGACATTAATATCGTTTAAGGTACCCGGGAGACCAAAGAAAGCGTGCCAGATCCAAAGATCTTGTGAAGCAACCGCCTCTAAGACAATTGACGGTTTTCCTGATCCACGTGCGTACTGCCCTTTCCAAGAAGTAGGGCAGTTCTTCCACTTCCAATGCATACAGTCAATGCTTCCTATCATCCCAGGAAATCCGCGCACCTCCCCAATATCGAGGAGTCGTTGGAGATCCTCCGGTGTGGGTCTTCGTAGATACTCTTCTCCAAATAGCTGGATTATTCCGTCAGTGAAATGTTTTAAACATGAAAGTGCCGTGCTTTCACCAAGTCGGAGATATTCGTCAACCGCGTCAGCCGCAGAACCATAAGCAAGCATTCGAATTGCTGCCGTACATTTTTGTAGGGGTGTAAGACCTAACCTCCCGGCTGCATCTCTTCTTTGTTGGAAGAATAGAAATTCTTCGGAGAGGGCATTGACAATACGCATGAATAAGTCCTTGTTCATGCGGAAACGGCGTCGGAATAAATGTGCCGGAAATGTCGGCTCTTCGCTGAAGTAGTCTCGCCATAGACGGTCGTGTCCGGATTCTCGGTGTCGTTCTATATAAGCACGTCGTTGTGGCTGTCTCGGTTGTGACTCCAAAATGTTGTCGTAGGTATCGTCTATGAGATCGTCGATAATTTCGTCCAATCTTTCGTCCACTCCATCGGATGAAGATGATGACATTTCCGGGTTTCGGTATTTATTTCTGGTCCGTCCTGCCATTTTATAATGCACCAAATTAAATAATTGGTGCAACATAATAAAATTTGAATTGATACTTATTTACTTGTTAATACAAATTTTATAATGCAACATAATAGAATTGATATTGATACTTATTTACTTGTTAATACAAATTTTATAACCCTAACATAATAGAATTGATATTGATACTTATTTACTTGTTAATACAAATATATATGCCCAAAGATTTTCAACGTTTCTTTTCAAACCATAATAGGCAACATTTTGTTTCATATCATTTTGGTTGATACCTAAAGAGAGACAAACAGATTTTCAAAGTTTCATTCAAAGTAAAACGAGAGACAGCCAATAACATATCATTTTGTTTGATACCTAAAGAGAGACAGCCAATAACATAAAACAATTCGCATTCCAATAGCATTACAACAAAAGAAGTTACCGAGTTTGTGGATGCAATAGTAGTAGATTACAAGCCTGGAGTAAACCACAGACAGCCGAGAAAGGAAACTAGAGATGCAAGTTCTCGCCTAAGGAGATGATACAAGAGAAAAAGATACTTCCTAATGAGATGATACAATGGAGACTTTTATAGTAGCGTTTAACACTACCCGTGACTTCTACTACCTTCCGAGAAAACAACTTCATTACCCGTGACTTCTTGTACCACAGCTACCCCTTCATTACCCGTGACTCTTGTACCTGCAAGAGCTACACCTGAAAGAAAACAAAAGACAACAGTTAGTAAAATACAAGAAAACAAATAAAGTTGTTTAACTACAAGACAAGCATGAAACAACTTGTTACTACCAAGATCCAACCTATCATATCATCTCAGTCATGAGTTTCAGTTTAAGAGATTCTTCCACCTCCGAGAGAGGTTCTTTTTTCGCAAGCAAACGTTCTAGAATCTTTTCTTTGCAGATTTTATGTTTGACTTCCAAGATGGACTGAAGCTGTGACATCTCTTCTTCCTTCCCACTCTTCTTTCTCTTGCTAGCAGCCTTAGCGGCTTTGACACCAACTGGTCTGGTTTCAGGCTCGGGAACTGGTTCTGTATCAACGTCGACAACTGGTTTGCGCTTCTCTTTCCCACCAAGGTAGGTCGTGCACCACTTCTGGTCATGCCTAAGCGCCCTCCACGCGTGTTCAAGGGCGAACCTCAAACCGTACAATTTGTTAAACGAGTCCAGAGCCTCATTCATCACATCGTCATCATTCTTGCCACTTCCCAGACTCCTCAATGCCGCGTCATGACAACCAACGAACTTACATACTTGTTCATTAATCCTAGCCCACCTCTGCTTCGCCGGACCAAGCTCTCTAGGTACCGTCCCAATCAGTTGAGGGCTCTCATTGTAGTAATCTACAATTCTCTTCCAGAAGCGGTCAGCTTTCTGGTCACAGCTCACAATGGGGTCTTTGGAGGTGTTAAGCCACGCACCAATGAGGATTTTATCCTCATTGGTAGACCACTTCCTCCTCTCTTTGCTAGCAGACCTGACAGTAGGCTCGACAGGGGACACACCACCAGATTGGAAAGAACACTCGGCTCCCTGTTCGAAAGAAGACTCACCAGGACCCTGCCTACCGAACCAAGATGGCTCGGGAGACTCAAGATCAACTGACGTTTGACTATAGAGAAGATTAATAAAGCCATTTGGGGGGGGGGTATTCATGTTTAGGTTTTGGTTTGTGTTACTCTATTACCAACACAAACCCTTAAGTAACCGATAGAAAGTAACTAAGCATTTAGTTTTGGAAGATAGAAAGTAAGTACGCATTTAGTTAAGGAAGATAGAAAAGCATTTACCACCGCTCTAATCACAGTAATAAGTTCTACACCAGCTATGTTAAACCTAACAAGTACGGAGACATCAAATCAAGCATTTAAAAATCTCGTTTTGAAACCAAACCGAACAAAACAAAGTGAAGTTCCTCTGTAATATTAATACATCATATTAATATTACATCATATTAATTTCAAAAGAGACGAAAGAACTAAAAGAAAATACAAGAACTATGCTCTATAACTTGTACACTATCTTTGAAATTTTTAGTTCCTCTGTAATATTAATATAAATCATATTAGTATTTTTATTACTCAAAGTTTTTATACTCAAAGTTATTTGACTCAAATGTATACAAGAACTATGCTCTATAAGTTATATTACTAAAAGTATAGTAAGTAAGAAAGAAACAAATTACCTTATTCTTAGAGGCCCATTCCAAGTTGAGACACTGATGTTCGAATCCTCCGAAACTATTCCTTGTAAGACATAAAAGAAAAAACAGTTAGTTCGATAGCCAAATTTTTTTCCCTGAAGAATGTATAAAACTTACCAGCAGACGACGACCAGTATTAGCAAGAGCAGTAGACAAACAACCTTCCCCAACCCACCCATAGCACCTGATTTCTTCTTAGTTAACACACCCACGATTTTCTCGAGCTTAGCCACCTTTTGATCACTCTCAAAGCATTGGTCCTTGACCATCCTCAGTTGTGTCTGCGTTTCGAGAAGCTCCTCTTGAATCGCCAAATCCCACCATTTCCAGATGTGAGTGTCTCCATCGTCTACGTTGGAGCAGTTGAAGTACCTCCTTCCTGGATCTTTTGCAGTGTACGACGTCTCCACAACTGGATCACTGCCGCAGTAGCATATCCGCGGTATGCCTTCATCTGCCTCAGGTTCCATTCTGTACTGAACCGCCGCTGCACATGTGAATGTACTATCTCCTTCATCCGCATACAGAGCAGCCTCTGCTTCAAGTAAGGAGTTCATGTCGAACTCCTCTGATGAAGAAGGCTGCGTGTAACTGTAGTCTTGTCCCATTGCCTGCAAAAAAAAACAAAACAAAACTAATAAGAACACAAAGCAAAAGAAGATTGTCTAGCTTAAAAGAACACAACTAGGCTATTTAGTAAGAACACATTTACTTAGATATATGATAAGCTGATCATATTGAATGAGATCCGAGAATGAAAAGAACTCCTAAAGAATACATTTACTTAGTAAGAACACAAAGCTTTCAACACAAACTGAGATCGAATTGAAACCGTAAAGCTTAAACTGTAACCGTAAAGCTTAAACTATAACCTTAAAGCTTAAATTGTAACCTTAAAGCTTAGTTGAAACCTTAAAGCTTAAAGCTTTCATCACAAACTGAAACTGAACCCTAATCGTATTTAAACCGAATACAAAATCGAATTGAAACACTAATCGAATAGAAACCCTAATCGAATTGAAACCCTAATCGAATTGAAACCCTAATCGATTGAAACCCTAATCGAATTGAAACCCTAATCGAATTGAAACCCTAATCGAAATGAATCCCTAATCGAATTGAAATCCTTTTTACAAATCAAACGGAAAACGAATCGATTCGTTCGAGATACGAAACATGGAGGGAGACGATAAATCTCTCCTTAGATCTACCACACAAGAACAACGAACCTAATAATCTCTCTTACATCGACCACAGAAGAAAAACCTACCTAAGATCTATCGGAAGAACAGCACAGAAGAGAAGATCGACGGTCGCTTCTATCGCCTTCGTCTCTCGAGCTCCGGATTTTTTTTTTCAACCCTCGATACCAAATGAAATTTTTTTCCAACTCGCGAGAAGCCTATTGCTCAACGGCCCAACCAAACGCCGACACGTGCCCGAAGGACTTCACGTTTCGGGTCCTTGCAGACGGA